TGCTACTGAGTATGTATGTACATATATATGCAGATGTTAAAAACAATAGTGACTTCTCACTTACCAGTATGTGTGTATGTTGTATGTCCACCGATGCTAGCGCCAGCATGCAGACTACCTGGGAAGTGTTGGGGGAGAAAAACAAAGCATATGTACATATAACTTCTGGAAAGGAGAGCAACCAAACAAACAGAAACAGGTGGTATAGTGGATCACGCTTAGTGGGTACGTATGCCACCTGTTTTGCTTTCCTTTTCAGTTCGGCCCTTCCCTACGTCGCGAAAAGAAATCGATCGTCGTTAAAAGGTACGTATTTACACCGGCGCGAGTGACAAAAAAATTACATAAAGGTGAATATTCAAACAAAAAAAATACAAAAGAAATTCACAGACGTGTAGAGACTGAATATTAACACTTTTGCAATATAGGCATTAATCAATGTTACTAGATTTAACCAAAGTTGACAAAATGCGAATGTGGAACATAAAAGTACTTACGTGTAAAGCGAATGTAGTGCAATCAATAAAGCGTGATGAAATTAAAGTTAACTCAAAATCGAAAATAAATGCAGAGTAAACAATGTGGTGAAAATAAAAGTATGTTTAAAAACTAATTTAATAATAAATGCGGTGTAAAACAAAAAATGTAGCAAATTACGAATTAAACTAACAAAAGGCTCAAAATTAAAAATAAATGCATATGAAGTAAAATGTAATGAAATAAAAAAAACAATAAACTTTAAAATTCAAAACAAGTGCCGCGTTAACAACTTTAAACTAAAGTGAATCCAAAAAAAGAGAAATTTTACGAACTAAGAACTTAGCTTAAACCAGGTGGGTGCTGGAAATCCAGGTGATTGTTATGCTGGCGTTCGGGATGCGGTGTGTATGCTGCTGCTCATAGATGGGTGAGTTTGAGTGCTGTGATATGCGGTGCTTCGATGTTGTGTGTTTGGCGATCTAGCTTAAGCCGGTGCTGTGCATATGTAGCCGTACGTATTTATGTATGCGGTAGTTTTTGTAAAATCTCGAGCCGCTGGTAGTGGACGTGAACGTCTATTTCGCCGCCGGGGCGCTTAGCACACACGGAAGTATAGTTGGCGCGGCCCGGATATAAATTTTGTGGACTTGACCAAATTGGGTTTAAAATAAAATGTCTTAAACAAAACGTTTTCCACTTTTTTTATTTTGCGTTAAGCACTTTGCTTTTACTTTTCAAAATTACTTTGTCGACCGATTTGGCGGGTATAAAAATTCGCGCTCGAGCACTTTTGCTTTCAACACAGACTCTCTTCAAAAGAATCACGATTAAGGCTTCAGCTCGCTATTTAAGCATTTTCGACGTTTATTTTGGTTACGGTGATTCTGCGGTTCTCCTTTTGTTTACAAGCAGACACATATACACAAGCTCAGGCCAGCCAATAGCAAGATCGCAGATCACGACATCGAACCAGTTGTATCGCACCCGCTATTTTGACTTTGGACTTTACGTCTTTATGGTAGCCAGTGGAAAGTTTTTATTTTGTTTACTTATACTGCTTCTACTGTTATCACCAGGGTGAATTTCCGTATAGGGTGGTTCGAAAAGGGTTGCTTCTCTGATTTAGAATATGCATTCATAGATATACACATGTTCATGCATATATCCACATATATGTATGTATATATATATATATGCATGTATATTCATATTAAATCGGCTGTCGTTACACACTAATTTCTAGTTTGCAATGTCCTTTTAAGCGTAATAGTGTCACCAGATAGCACCGTTATTAGAATAAATAGTAATAATATGTACATGCATATGTATTCACTGTCCACATAGATCGAGTGTATGTATTCAATTATGTATTGCGAAAGCGAAAATAGAATAGATAGATAATAACTAATATAGATACATAATACAGTGGCGGCGGTAACAATGGCATTGGGATAAACCAAATTTATTCCAATACCACTGACAACGGCGCAAATGTAGTTAAAGCGTCCAAATTGCTACACGATATGCAGCAAGAAAGTTTAGCAAACGAAGATGCTATAAATGATGTTGAGGCAGACCATATTGAGTCCCAAATCGCTTCTGTGTTTTCTGTGGTTCGTTGTGCTACTCATACTATTCAGCTAGCAGCATATGATGTCATAAAAACAATTGAAAGGGACTTGGAAGAGTGCAGGACGATTGTAAAAAAAATGAGAACCTTAGTAAGAGCAGGAAATACCGACATCAGTTTGCCATTCATCGACAACAGAACTAGTTGGAACTCTACGTATGATATTATGGAATCACTTTACCGAATCAAAGAATACATTGAAAATTTGTATAAAAACATGTACATAAATTGGTCATTCGTTAAGGATTATCTCACCGCTTTTCAACCAATCTCTAAGTGCACCCTAAAACTTCAAAGTGAGCAGTATATTATAGGAGACTTCTTCAGAGATTGGCTTACTTGCGAACTAGAGCTTGCAAACTTGATCCCAGACAATACTTATGCAGATTCCTTCCTAAATGCGATGAAAATAAAAAAAATTTCCTTTTAGAATATAAGGCTTTCGTCGCTGCTCTATATCTAGATCCAAGATTTAATTTTGAAGAAACACCTCTCCTCAGCTCTGAGCAATAGGATGTTTCAATGGTAAGCCAACTGAAATTTATTTCAAAATTCATTATCTTGATATTATATTTCGTTAAATTAATTTATTGTTTACTTGAATTTTTTATATCTTTATAATTGTGAGATACTAATCCAGTTATTTTAATTTTTCCTACTCTTTTACAGGATCACTTAATAAGGACTTACGAAATGATCCAGAAAATTGAAAATCCATCAGAATATCGGAATGATTGCACTTCTGGAGTTGTACCACATACAACACAGGACAATGAACTTCCAAGCACATCGAAAGGGACGTACCATAAGTTAACGCTGCACGTAAGGTCATTGGCAAAATCGCAAAGTGCAACGAGACCAATCGTAAAACCTAACATCAAACAAAAGCTGGTTAATCTCTGTGTAAAAGAAATGGAACCGTTCGACACAAATGTCCTGGAATACTGGAGAAAATTTTATCGGAATGAGTGTGAGATGTTGAAGTTAGCGGAGGTTGTATTAGCAGTACCAGCAACACTAGTTTCTGTTGAGCGGGCTTTCAGCGCACTTTCTCCAATACTCATTAAGTTACGTACAAAATTGTCAAAAAAATCGTTATCGAATCTATTGATAACAGAATTAAATTTTGATATTCTCCACTTCTCAAAATTAGAAATTGAAGAAAATAAATAGATAAAATATTGTGATGTAATAATTTTCTTCATTTTTATATACATATCTGTGTTCATATGGAATAGTAGCTTATGTCGAAAGGTTGGCTTTAGTATAATGCAAAAAACATCTTCCATACAACGCCCTAAAAAGTTTTCAGGATAAGCTGTTGTGAGTGATCACGAAAGGAGCACCCGCATCGTTTACCTCATTTATGTAGGTACACACCCAAAACTCTTACAAAATAAAATTTTATGAAGAACGTACGTATTTACGAAATATCTTGCATTCAGGGAAATCCCAACTAAACCACACAACTCCACACTTAGCGAAATGCAGTTTGAAGAAAAATTCACTACCTGCTACAACTCTAAAATGAACGAAATCATGTGCTCTATTTCCGTAAATATTTATAAAGCATACTAATTATTAGTGGAAAATAAGCAAAAGGTAGGTAGAAAGCTGCTACAATACTGTATCTACATACATACTTCAGGCTAAAAGGCTCACAAGTAAGTTTTTTTCGTCTTTGCAAGGTCGTAGTAAAACCAACGCTTAGCTATTATTTGATTATTGCTGCAAAATTTTTGCTCACTCTGCGCTACTGTTCAGTAAATAACTACCCTGCAAAAATTTGAGGACCAGGTGGTCCACTGGGTCGTAGTTTTAAAGTATGTGCAAAAGGGCCAGGTTGCATACTAGTAACTTGTTATGCTTACGTGGACCACTTCAAACGTAAAAAACCGATATATGTGTTGAGATCCACCTATTCGTGCCCCATCGGCAACATGATTCGGCTGCCGAATATGCCATGATCCAAAAGGAGTAGTTGTCTAGGTGGTCCCGTGTTATGCAGGGGTGAACCAGCAGTGGTCCCATGTTATGCAGCGTTGGACCAGAGGTGGTCAGGTCCAATGACATCGCAATGTTAATGTTACCATATTTTCTCCATATACTTGGACAATTTTCGTTACTAGTGTTGGTTACAAGGTAGTGTGGTCCCGTACTAGTATTTAACCTAGTCCCAATTTTTGCAGGGTATGATCTTACCGGTATAAGTACATGCATATACACATATCTACATACATATGTATGTGTGCATGGATATGAAATGCAGACCTTAGTTTTATTGAATTTTCTTCTAGTAATACATACATCCATACATATTCTTATCCTATTTACATGTTTATATTTTTGGTTTCTTATTAATATCCTTATAATGGCGAATCAAAACATTTAAAATAAATAAAAAATTTATATGTATTGTTTTTTCTGCTTTTCTTTACTCTCAGTCGTCACCAGACGCCCACTTTTCTCATTATTCAATCTTATCCCCACTAAGTTCCATTTATTAGATATAAAAAATAAACGCAATCATTATAATAAAATAACATGCAGATACACCATTATACTGAAAAGTGTACGCTTGGAATATACTTTAACTACACGTAAAATAATTTATGTAATTTATGTATATGTAGATACATGCATATATGTTTCCACCATAATTCATACATTTGTGCATATTCCCACATTCCATTCGAAAAGCATTTGCTTGCATTACTTACATATACATATGTACATATGTATGTACGCTGTATGCATAACAAACTGCATACCCAAAACAAACGCGAAAAATATCTCCCATACCACGTCGTTGAAAATTTTTCGCGAAAAGTTTATCGCGATAAGCTGTTGTGAGTGATCGCGAATGGATTATTTGCATCGTTTTTCATATTTATGAGAGGCCGACATCGGCAATGCTCGGACTTCTCATATTCAAGTGAGATGAAATTTCTTTGCTTTTTTCGATCGC